AGCGCGGCCATCGGCAGTGGCCGGGGATATTCAGCAGAAACTCGCTCCCAAAAGCCTGGGGGTTTGTGTCTCTTGGTCCTTCCCGTAAGAGACCAGGAAGGGACTTTGAGCCCCGCACAAGACGTGGTTCTCCTCTGGCACTCCCTTTGGCCCTCCGCTGATGCCTTTCATCAGAAGATTTCCAGGAGCGTCACACCCAAACCCTAAGGAAGCCTCACGCGGCCCCGTGAAAGAAAGACTCCTTATTGCGCCAGTTCCTGGATGACCAGGTGAGGCACTGGGTGATGAAGCAGTTTGCCTACGTTCATACAGCAGACAAAGCGGTGGAAATGAAAACTTAGAGCAGGGCATGGGTGGAACTCTAAGCACTCGGGCGTGGGATCGGCCAAACACCGGACCAGGAGAATCAAGTTGTGATGCCACATGCTGGATTTCTAGGGGGTTACAGCTCAGCGAGCCTCACCTCCCCAAGAGGTTTCTTACGCTGCCCTGTTCCCAAGATGCTAAGATCTAAAGGAAACGGCTTTAAAAGCCTCCCTAGGCTGCAACTGGCAATGTCACCCCCAGACAATAAACCCAGTTCGGTGACAGCGTTCCTAACACGGACACCGGGGCTCCCCTCCCACTGGTGTTTAATGGGCACGTCACCCCCGGTGCTCCTCACGCCTAGGTCCACTTTCACCCCGATGCAGCAGGAAGCCACAATGACTCTTGAACGGGTGGCAGGGTGGGCTCATGAGAACAGCCTGTTCCAATGCAGCCAATGCAAGGTCCTGCCGCTCGCAGCAAGGAAGGCAGGTGGGAGCGACCGGTAACCGGGGAAGTCAGTGCTGGGAGCAGCACTGGGAGGGGGTGGTTGACAGCCAGCTGGCTCGGGGGACGCTGTAAGAAGCAAGATTTGGAACTATAAGCAGGAGGACGTAACGCAGCATCCGCTCTTTGGCTAGAATTAATGGGGAAGTGGGGGCCTTGGGCTTGGCTGTGGCCCAGGGGGGCCGCCCCGGGAAAGCTGTGTCCGGTTTGGGTGCTCATGCACCAGGACGAATAGGGCTGAGAAAAGAGCTACGCGCGAGCTGAGGTCCAGACATCGTGCGCCACAGGAAACGACTCGGCGCGGCTGTGATCACCGTCGACAAGCACCTTGAGGCGGGGGAGGCTTCTGCTCGCAAGGCAGCAGAAGAAGGCACAGAACAAGATCCCGTGGCTGGATGCTGAAAGTAGACGAGCTGGTGTGGCTAGCGAGAAGCGTAGCTAACCACGGGAACGGCTCACCTAGGGATGTGGTCGGAGGCGGCGCTCGGCAGAAGCAAGCTACGTAGCTGGGGCCTCCCCCAGTTCCTTCCTGGGCAGTGGGGCAGGAGGCTGGTGGGGCTGCCCAGGGAGGGGCAGGGAAGTGTTTCTGCCCTCTCCCCAGGGCCCCCAAAGGAGCAGGAAGTGGCCTGCTGCCAACGTGCTCCTGCCCCCTCCCGACTTGGGTAAGACTGAGTCCGTGGGGCTCGGGACTCTTCTGGAGACGCCACCAGCACTGCCAGGACTTTCTCAAGCAGAGCGACCTGCCTGACTCCCCCCCACACCATCCGCTCCTTGCCCACCGCTTGGGGG